GGAGTACAATAATATAATAAGCTGCAATGATATAATATATGGCACAATATGTGAATGAAAATGAAAAGCAATACCCTTCTGGGGAAGCAGCAATTGTCATGTTGACATTTCTTCAGAGAAAGCTTTGGTCATGGTGACCTGAAAAATGGTATATGGTTCCAAGAGATCAGTGGTGCTATAGACAAATTCTCAAACGGCAAAAATAACAACTGGGGAAAACCACTGAAATCTTCTTTGGAAAAAGTTAAAAGGGTCTACTTGTCCGACAGATTAAAATGAAATGACGGGCAAGAACTTAAGCAAGTGTGTTCTACTATTACAGTTTAGTGAAGTTTGGGAAACTGTGTAGTACACAATATTATAATAAAAAGATACATACCACTGTCCTTGTTCTATCAATCCTTACAATTTTCCAGCTATCAAGGATTTTATCTAATGTGTCAAGTGATTTGGGGACAAAACAATGTTTAAAAGATGTATAAAAAGTCTCACCTAAGGTTAAGGAATCATGTCCCCCAGTTTTCCTCAAGTACAACTTAGTCTTTGAAAACACACAATAACAAAACTGATACTTACCACCAGTGTCATTTTATATAAAACTACAGTATGAAATTATTTACCAGTCTGTTAATAATTACTGAAGGTCTTGGGGTTTATTTATTTTTCCTTTTTTTCTTAGCTTTCTTAAAATGTTTTCCAACTATCATTTATCTACACCAAATAACATGAAATAACTGTAACAACAGTTGGTTGTCTTGAAAAAGAGTGTTATTAAAAAAAACTGTATTTAGGGCACAAGAAACTGGGCTAATAATGAAAAGAAAACCTAATTACCTTACAGCTTAGAGTTGTCTGTTCAACACTCACTATCATGGTGAGAAAACAGAACTTCAATACATATCAAGTGTAAATTTCTTATCTATAAGATTATAGTATAAAAAAAACAGATACCACATGTCCTATTGCTTCCCAAGCCCATGTTGTTCACTTCTTCTTGACTACAGGTTTATTTATATGACAAAAGAATAAACTCTAAGTATACTTACCCTTTCATTTTCATACACAGAAAAAAAAATTAATACAAACCACAATATACTTCCTTTTTCACTTACTTTAATTTAAATTTTTGATGCAAAAATATTTTTTCCAAAATAATCATTTGTTTTTAACATGTTGCCTTTTAGTTAAAAATCGGAGTAACTTAATCTAAAAGTATGTGACATATTCATAAAAAATTCATAAAAATTTGTGCTTTACATCAAATCAAGTCCAAAATAATTGGTTTAAATTGTTTTGAAAGTTTAGTAATCATCATATACTCAACAAACATATGCATATGGTTGTTCTCTTCAATACTGATAGTACTTTAAAAAAAACCTTTCTCATGCCAGTTTTGTGGGATTTCCTATAAAAAACACAATTGACAGCTTCGTTTTCATTTTCAAAATGCGAGTACCAAAATTAAAGAAAGATGTAAAAAATAAGTATAAAGGTATTCACAAATCACAACTGCGAGTATCATGAATACTTTTCCAGATCAGTGCACAAGAAACATTGATCTGCTGCTGTTGTTTTCATGGAGCAAAATTATTTGCTGAAAAGAGCAGCAGTGATTAAAATGGGAGTATTTCCCCCCGGTTTATTTCAAGCATCTGTTGCATCTTCCTGTTTCAAAACTCACCTCATGGATAATTTTGCACCCTTTCACTTCACCAATCTGACCAAAAAGGGCTATGATGAGATTTTCTGTCACCATGCTGTCCAGGTTACCAACGTACCTTCACAAAATGGAATACGAAATGATTCGGTTAAATATATAATGACTGGGATTTGTGTAAAGCAGACCGGAATCTAGTCATTTCTAAAGTTTCACATGACTGAAAAGTTGAACATGCTTCTGTAAACTACTGGACGTGACATAGAATTTAGAGCGCCTGCTTTCAGATACTTACAAAGTACGTGGCTGGGATTCATCATTGTAATCTGAAATAAAAAGAAAAATAGTTTTAAAAGTATTCAAATAATTATCTACTTTGAAATTCAACACTTATTCGGTATTTTACGTACCTTCCATGTCCCCTGTATTGAATGGCTACCTTTTATGTTACGACTGCGCATGCTTCATTACATAGGTAGAGGGCGCTGAATGTCAACAGGAAGGGCCACCTCTGCACGAAAACATCACAACTTTACTATCGACGATCTCGTTAACGTAAACAAAACATTGATTAAATGATCTACACCTAGATCAATGAAACTATCGGATAGTTAAATATTTTAGGTATGACAGATAGTCAACTAAATTATTGTTGATTATTCCCCTCTTCTTTCCTTGTGTCAAGATACCGTGAGTTTTGTAAGGGGATCGATGGATATTCAAAAATAATTTACACCTAGAAAGGTCAATATTTTTCCCCTCTGAAAACGCTTTTCGACTCTGAAGGGCTTGTATGTTTTTACAACAAGAACGTTGTAAGTGGAAATAAGAGGGCACTATAGATCTAACCCCAAACACGCTCGAATACGTACAGAGGGGGGGGGGGGGGGCAATTAAAGTTTCATCTTTTATTTCAGTTTACATTTCGCTGTTTGATCTAAAAGTTGTTGTAAATTAAATGGGATAAGAACAGTAAGAATAGGAAAAGTCTTGGCAAAAATTCCACAAAACGAACTTTTGTCCTATTTATTCATTCTTAACAATGTATTCAAACATATCATTAAGCCTATATGGAATTATTATTCCTCGAGATCAACACCTTTCACCACCATCAAACTAAATGCGTGACTTCGATTTAAATACATTTTTTTCTGATTTTTAACAAATAAGACTGCAGATTAAGCTATTTAAACATGACAAACTTAAATAACGATTATTATTCTCAAAACTGCTTTTGGAATAGGCCCTACTAGACGTGAAATCAAAATTATTGATATAGGCCTATACATGTAGGCCTAATTAAGTACTGTATGATATAATTTACCTTTCCTAGGCCTCAATGACCGGTTTCAACTTTATTACTGAAGGAAAACTACTGCATTAAACGCACAGCAAACGCATACAAACGTGCTTTCCGTACCGAAAGTTCCTTATTTTATCCCGACTGAAATTCATAATTTTGTATCTACGTAAAAACAGGTGACTTAGTGTGCAATGTCGCATTCCGATGTTATTTAACAATTGATGAAGTCAAAATGTTTTAATAACTGAAATATGGAAGAATAGATAGCTATAAATCACAAAGCCATATTTCAGGAGCAGATCTAGGATTGTTTGAAGAGGGGGGGGGGGGGCGGAGCGACAAGCCTCGGATGCGACCATCGTCCCTTTGGCGTGGGGTTCGGGGCCTGCTTAAGGACCCCGAAATATTTTTTGGAGTTTTGGTGGGCACACGGTGCCTTTTGGTACGGTTTTGGACTATGATTCAGCTAGTCAAATTTTAATTTAAAGAGGGGAATATTGGTGTGATATATTTGGGTTTTAATCATTCAGCTTTTGGGCCCAGCGTCCACTAGCCTGCAGGTTGTATAAAAGAGAGAAACCAGAAGTTGCACATTAATTTTCATGCATAGTTTGTGACACATAATTATTAACATTAATGTATTATATGTACATTGTAATAACTGCGAAATTCACTGCAGGGTCTGTAATTGAAATTACATACGGAGGCTCATTACAACGAGTTGTTTGGTTCTGGACTACCAAAATTAAAAAAAAAAAAAAAATTTTGAAAAATATCTTTATATAAGATACAATAAGAAACGTATTCTGTGACTACGGTGAATATGATATTGAGAATTAACACTTAGAAAGCGCGACCAAAAGCCGTTTTAAGCAATAGGCCTATTTTGTCGTACCAGTTATTTTCCTTCTTGTGCCTGTAGCCTAACCGAAAAAATATACACCACTGACGTTTTAATTGTGAAAGGTTTTAATCTAACTTCCATTTCAAACAAGATTTTCATCTGCGCATGCTATGCTAATAGTTAAAATATTCAAAAGTGAGGAACCTGCGTCTAAGTCATAGTTGTATATTTAGAATCACGCAGTGTTTTCTTTTCTCATTTGTTACAAAGGACCCTTTTTATTAAATAACTTAAACAAAGAATATAAGACTGTCTCTTGTGCTTTCGCCATTGTTGATAAGCTTTCGAAATGAAACTTTTGTTGAATTTCAGGCAGAATTTCGGTTGCACTAGAACACAATTTGTTACTCATCTATGCCTAAGCGTGAAATGAGCGTAATAAACCCATTGCTATTAATGCACAGTCGAACAATAGCCTTGAACTCACAATATCTGTTTTATTTCAATGTTAACAATGCCCGTGCGAGAATCTATAGTCTCTACATGCACAGCTAGGGGGTAGGGCCTACCAGAGGACCAGGAGGACGCAACAGGTTGATGACGTACAGTAGCTGTGGTGCAAAAATCCCCACCAAAACAGAAATGTGCAAAACTAGTGAATAGCCAGAGAATATCTGTGAAAAGGAGCCTATCCATAACAAATAATTGGGTAGATATGAATGCCGGGATGACACTTCCTATGATTGTTGCACTTGATGATGGTCCCTTAATTTTTATAAACATCATGTCATTGTCCGAAGTGAAAGAGAATGCCAGGCTCGCGTGTGCAGGTAGAGGTAGACTTTTTAACCATTTTCAGAGTTTTCATCCCGTATGCATAGAAGGTATTCAGCGACCTTATTGTCTGCTTATCAAAAACGTTTTGCACTAGGCCTATATGTAGGCCTAATTCATGAAAATATTTATCCATGGGTTTGAAAACAGGAGCCTAACAAAGATGAACTATTTTAATAGTTTATTTTAATATTAAAATAAGGAAAAGGTTTTAAATCGATACAAATGGTAAAATATGTATAACATTATTATTATTATTATTATTATTATTATTATTATTATTATTCATCTTAACTTCTTAAGATAATGGGGAGGGGGCAACGTCACTGTTGTCGTCTCGATTGCGTTTTGCAGTGCGACAGGTACACGGAAGTACGTCAGCGGAAGTTCAAACATGGCGACGATCAGTAAGGCCGTGGTGGCAGTGCTCATTTTATTTGAGCAGTATTGTGTTAATTTTGCCGAATGGAACACTAGAGATTATATGAAAAAGGAGCATTCCCTTGTGAAGCCGTATGTGGGTAAGACATTGTTTTCTTAAATAATTGCTATATTTTTCTTGGCGAAATCTAAGATTCGCCGGTCGTGCTCTGCGTGGCACAGTCACCTGGTCCGCAGTTACTGGAAATTTCTGTAAGTTCATCTCTCCTGAACAAACTTAGGTAATGCTCAGTTTTGTGATTACTTTTCTAGATAATAATCAAGAAATGGTGTCCTTAATTTACACCTGTGGAAACTTTGTTGTTTTTTGTGATATATATAACGCCGTGGGGTATTAATTAACTTGGCACGACTTTGCGCTTTGCCACAAGTCGATAACATATTAGTCATTAATTTGCATGTTCATAGACTCGGGTAAGCGTGGAATGAGTGCAGTAAAAATCAGGGGGTCCTCAATATTTTTTTTTATTTTTAACGATGTTCAGCACCTTAAAGGGGTCGGATACAGGGGTCCTGTGCCCTGTTTCTTTATGCCAATAAGTACATGTATCAAGTTAGAGACCAGTGCTAAACTCAAGGCAAAACCCATTTCAAGTGAAGTATAACCTCTCCAATTTCTTAAGAGCAATTTTAAAACAATTATCTATTCCCTGAAGCAGGCTTGATGTTTTGTTCAGTCAGAATTAAATTGGAACATGACCAACCAGAGATGTGATTTGAAAACTGTTGCATAAATTGAAGACAATGGTTGTCTTTCATTTATTTGGCTTATATTTATCAAAATTATTGATACAATCCTTTAAAGTAAGAGATACACATTATCATATTATAATAACTGAAAAACTTTAAAAAAAACATTCAGTGGAACCTACTTCAGTATTTGGTGATGCTTACTAGTAAACAGTATGCAACAATATTTGTTATAGTTATTTTATTGTCATTGTTTTTCAGGAACTCCATGGGACTTTGTAGGGAGTACAATGCTTACCAATAATTATATTCGTTTAACATCAGATCATCAGAGTATGAAGGGAGGTCTTTGGAACCAGCATGTGAGTTATAAATCCAGAAAAAATTATTTATTTAAAAAAATACTGAGTGTTAGATATTTACTGATTTTAGAAAAAAATGTTTGTATTCAGTGAAATACTACTTCAATTTGGAATAATGCTTTCAACAAAAAAGTGGGGTGAAATTTATATTAATAAATATGAAATTCCAAAGGAACTCGAATAGAACAGTGATGATTTTACCAGAAGTTGAACACAGGCACCTGAATGGATTTCTGTGTATGGAAAGTCATAGAGATTTTTTTAACTAAAGTTTTCACTTAAATATTTCAGCCTGTTCTTGTCAGAGATTGGGAATTACATATACAGTTTAAGGTGCATGGAAAGGGGACAAATTTATTTGGCGATGGCTTTGCCATTTGGTACACTAAAGAGAGGCTGACAATGGGTAAGTAAGAGCAGTCTTATTATATGGTAATATTCACTGCCTGAATGGCCAGGTGATAGTGCCTACAGGTGTATGAAGGGATGTAATAGAGGCATATTTATCTACAATTTTCGAATAAATTGCTGTAATAGATATTATGGAATTTCTTTAAAATCTGTAGACATTTTTGAGTATAACTTATTTGTTGCACGGTTAGTTTGAAACTAATTTAAAAAAAAAAGGTCAGTGGTCTTTTTGAAAATACCATTATAATTTCTTATTGGTGCCTCATTTTCAGGAGATGTATTTGGCAGCAAAAATTTTTTCCATGGCCTGGCCATTTTCATGGACACCTACAGCAATCACAATGGTCCTCATAATGTAAGTAAGAGGCTTGCAGTTAACATAACACACTGGGGGATTACAAATAGTAGATATTCTTTTATGATATTGTGTTAATAATCATGCTTGTGCTGGTCTGCTTTCCTTTTAAGATTCTGTGCTGGATACAAGTCCTCATGTGTGGTATAATATGGCTATGTAATTTGATTATAATCAGTTAAAGCACTGTTCTATAATTTGATGGGCAAACCTCCACGGAACATGGTACCAGTGAGAAATTTGTATTCAGCAAGTCCTCATGTGGGGTACAATATGACAATGTAATTTTATTATAATCAGTTAAAGTGCTGTTCCATTTGATGGGTATATCTCCACATAACATGTTACCAATGAGAAATTTGTTCTTAATGTTAAGTGAAATTGTTTCTTTTATGGTTAACCAGTGCCCTGCAAAACAGCCGCAACCAGGCAATTACCATAATATTTACCATGATATGTAGCCAAGCAACTGACAGATTGTGTCTTGGCTCTTGGACATCAGAAATATTTGTTCTTTTACTTCTAATGCATGTCAGCTATCTTGCTTTGCACTTGATGCTGGGTAGTCTTAGGCTGCCCCTAGTCTATCCAGATTACTGCTATCATAAGTCAAAGGAAATCACAGCTATTTTTCTTCCCTTTAATTTGCCACCATTTGTCTATAATAATATCCTTTGCTGGGCTGGCATCCACAGCTTTGCTGTTCTTACTCCACTAGCAAGAAATAGATTCTGACTAGCTATGGACAGTTTATTTAATGACTCTAAACCTGATGCACTGACATTATGCACTGACTGCATTATTTCAGTCTTAAGGAAGGCATTAATGGCTGCATTTAGATAATTAAATGGAAATGCATTCACACCATAAATAATGTGATGCTTGCAGGTGGAATGGGAATGTCCTTTAAACCACTTCACCTGACTTTATAAAAATAGCCTTAAATTTAGCTGGCATTATGTCAATTGTTGGTATGGATAATAAATTTCAACTTGTTTTGTATTTCAGCATCTACATCCCTATATCTCTGCCATGGTGGACAATGGTACAATGGGTTATGATCATGATGCTGATGGCACACACACAGAATTGGCAGGTTGTGAGGCCCTGTTTAGAAATTTAGCTTACGACACATATGTTGCTGTCAGATATTCTGATGACACGTTAACGGTAAGTTTTGATGTGGTGTTAAGCAGTTTGTTTAACCAAAAAGCTGTGAATCTTAACAAGATTTGAAATGCAGAACTTCATTAATTAATGTTATACCAGATTAAATAGTCAATTTTGTTTAAATGAAAAAATGCTTATCCAAAAAATGTATGTATTGATATTTACCTATATTTACTGGAAACATTGACAAACTGAAATTGATTCATCCAAAGGTGTCACATATGACAAGCTATTTTTGCAACACATGATTATCCAGGTTTCAACGGACATAAATAACAAAGGTGGATGGAAAGAATGTTTTACAGTGAAAGGTGTCCATCTACCCACTGGCTATTATTTAGGCTTCAGTGCGGCCACTGGACAGCTAGCAGGTACAAATCGGTCACTCCAAGTGGAGATGAATTAACCAACCAGCTCTGCATGGAGAGAAGCCCTAACATTTGGAGTGCTGTGCCTCACTTAACACTGTCTGTCTTGTAGATGCTGCACTGTATTTGGTTTCCCTATCAACCTCAGCTGAAGTGCATTTAAGTTCATTGAAGTGAAATGGCTTAAATGAACTTTTGTGGGAAACTTTCTTTTTCATGCAACCTTATTTGGTTTATTCAATATATTTAGATGAAAAATTTAATTAAAGGTCTTTTTGAGAATTTGGCATGCTACTGTCAGCTTCGAGGAAAGCTTTGAATTTTCATTTTTGAATTCTTAAGTAAGACCAGGAAGCTTTTTAAACCTATGTCAGCCTACCTTCACTGAATGGTGCCAAATTTATTGAATGAGCGCTTTTATTGGTTGCATGAAACTCTGTATCTTGAATTTAGGGAAGAACTAGTTATAGTTTCCCTAAATACAAGTCATTTGAGCATGATGTAGAACTAGAGGCCAAACATTGTAGTGCTAGATTTTCATCACATTCCATTTTCAGGTATCCACAGACATTAACAATAAAAATAAATGGAAGGAATGTTTTAAAGTGAAAGGTGTACATTTGCCCACTGGCTATTATCTGGGCTTCTCTGCTGCAACGGGAGACCTCGCAGGTACAACCAGATAGGAACACAATCACATATTTAAGCAAATATATAACTGATTTTATTATTTTCATTTTCTGTTGCTGATTTCAAAATTTTTTGTTATCAGTGGGATTGTGGGATATCCAAATTGCTCATTCAATTCAGAACCTTCTTCCATCTATTAAGTGTGTGCTCATAGAAGGTTGTGGAACTTATGCTTGTTGTTTATAACACTCATTCACTTATAACTTTACCTTTAGTTTATAGCTGTCATTGTGGTATTAGTGGGTTAATATACATATACAAAATGGTATAAAGCTTTTATAATCTTTTGATTTGATGTTATGTAATGAAATAATGCTGTGGGACTTTTAAGTTAATTGGAGGGGTGTGTCATATATATCTGCACGTCCATGATACTGGGTAACAACATTGGGTTATAAGCTTTGAAAGTCTGTCAAAATATTCCTATGTGTTGGATTACAATGGGAGTGCTTTCATGTGACAGGGGATGAATTTATCTTATTTTAACAAACAATTTTGTGTTTCCAAACATTGCTGTATATTTTTAACTTTTTAACTTTTTAATTCTTAGCTGGAAATGACACTTTTTTTAGTTCTTTTTTAATATTTATATATATTAATGCAGTTCTTACCATAAGTGTTTTCCTCTTCTTGAATGACTAAAAGTGATGTTCATATTTATATATTGTGATTAGAACATGACATGTTTGATAGTACAGTATGAAAGATGCATCATTTAATCAATATTTTGATGCCAAAGGTTTCTGGGACTGCTTTTTATGTTATTTGGTACATTCTATTTATTTTCAGATAACCATGATATTATCTCTGCTAAATTTTATGAACTGGAAACAGAAAGAGTAAGTATTGATATTACATGTTAGTGCAGTTTGAATTTAGTGAAGAGATTTATATCTTCCATTTTGATATTATTGAAAAGCTAAGCTAAGAAACTTTTTGTTGGGCATGGTGACCCTCTGAAAAACTCATTAAGCACTCATTAAAAAGTCTGTGTTTTTAGCTGCAAATGTAACATTTATAGTGATGTTTTTTTGCCTTCAGTCTTTTTCAAAGTGACTGAAAGTTAATCACACCGTTTCATTAGATTATTAGTGGTAATGAAAGTGTAACATTTTATTAATTTCAGAAAGATGATGGTGTTGATTATTCCAAAATAGAACCATCTGCACAGTTTTTTGCTTCACCGAGAGGTTAGTAAAGATTAAATTATTCATTTTATTGCATAGTGTGAGAGGCAAATATGCTGTTACTTGAAAGAGAGAATATTTTATTTGGCACTTTGCATTCCAATAAAGTTTTTCAGAATCAATTTGCCCATCAGGTAGAAATTAAAAATGGATCATAAACATATATTTTCGTATATTAAATGTGAACTGTGTTTATCTCTGTATATTTAAAATAGTCCATGATAATTGATGTTATTATTTTTAGACCATGTTGATGATGCCAAAGGGGCCTTCATGTTGAACAGTTTATCTGGCTGGAAGCTGTTAGTGGTCATCATACTCATTATCATAGGCATAGGAGTGTGCCTTATGGTGGGCTTTATCATCTTTCAAAAATCACAGGAAAATTCAAGAAAACGTTTTTACTAAATTTCATGTTACACCAATTATATTGTTTCAGAGTAGAGTCTGATTACAGAGTCCAAAGATTGAGTAAAAACTGAGATAGTGTGTGTTGTTTAAAGTGAACAAAGATATTTTCCGAAATGTGTTAACGTTACTTTTTTAAAGAAAAAAGTACAAGGAATACAGTGGCCTGTGTTTTACCAAATGCTGGTGGCATAAAGGTGTAAACAGTCTTAGTACACTTGTGAACCTGCAATAATGTATGCACTGGGAACAATTGAGAATATTGTCCAAAATTTTGAGCCATTTATTTTTTAGTGAACATGTAACCTTAAGCTCATGAATTTAAGACTTTTTTTCTGGGTGGTATTCAGCCTAAAGCAGCCCCCAGTCATTCGGTCACCAAGCTAGTTCTTCCTTTTTATTTACAACCCAATATCATGTCTGTGTATTATGAAAAATGACATACAGAGATACATTATTATTGTTATTGTGTATGCGGTGTTTATAATTCAAGATAGTTCTTAATGCAATAAATGTTGAGGCATAAGAACTTGTTCACCAACAGTAAAAGCATGTTTATGGTTGCAGGATTGTACAAAATACATTTTATTTATTTTTGTTACATTTGAGAAGACCAAGTGGTTTTATTATAATTGTCAAAAACAAACTTTATAAGCTGAGAATAAAGAACGGTGTACAGCAAGTTCAAAACCACTTCTATAATTAAGTATTCGAGGGCTGACAGTTCTCCAATACTTTTCATTTTGTCCCTCAAGTTGTGCTAATAAATCGTATCTCTTATTCACATCAGTGTTACATTTGATATTCAATTTGTGTTCCATCCATATTATGGTAATTGGCTTCTTGTGTGTAAGGTGAGCAGGTGCTAGTTTCAACTTATGAATTTAAACATTTTATATGCCATTTCATATCTTGAGCCCACTGCTTGTTCAGAGGTGATTGGGTAACTTGGAAGAAAATTGATGTATTTTGTATTTTTTCAGGTATTATCAGAAAGACATCCATTGACAAGTAATTTGAACTTTGCCTATTAATGTAGTTATATTTAAATGCCAAATCAAAGTAGCAAATACTGGTAAGGAACTAAGTAGACATTGAACCACTAGGTAGGTAGTGTTTTGTCCACAACAATTAGAATTTATTTTTGTAGTGCAATTTGAAAAGAATAGTTTCAGTTTCATATCTTCCATGTAGTTGGGTATTCATAGTAAGGCAAAGGAAAGGTAGGTTAGGTGGTTCACCAATATTCATGTTAGATTGAAACTTAAAATGTTTTTCTTTCAATACAGCAGGCACAGAGAAACATACAAGATACAAGTAGCAGATCTTTGCTCAATTAAATGTGGTTACGTTAAACAAATGCCTCAAAATGTGAAAGACTTAAAAACAACACCAGAAACCACAACCAGCCTATTTGTGCTTCCAAAGTTTAAAATTTAAAGTATTTTAGCAGCTTTAGAAGCTGCCAGATGATGAAATATTGAACAATACTAATTTAATGTACATAGCCTCGGGTGTTGTTCTAACACTATGGAAAAGGTGGGGTATGTAATAGTTTTGTACATGTGGACTATATCATTGTATAATAAAAAAACATTCTTTGGAAAAATATTGCAGCACTTGTTATTGTTAATGGGTATTGGATTCATGTGAGGGATTGTCAGTGTCAATCTCTTTTTATTCACTTTAAAAAAATCACAGCAATAACTTATAAACAACATATATTATGACTTTTAAATAAGTTCCTCCTTTCAGCTTGGTTTGTGTTATACTACATTACACTAAAGTTTTTCCTACAAAATTGTTCCAGCATTTGTGTTCACAGTATATATACGATCAGAGTCATGGGGACTTGGAAGACAACCATTTTTCTCCTCACTGAGAAATTTCTCCCCTTTCTCCTTTCCATCTTTCTATCAAGTCCACTTTGCAGCCTAAATCCCTGAGTGCACTCTTGGCTTCATCTGTACAATCTTTATGTTGCTGGTAGGCCAGGTTAATCAAACCCTCCGCACCAAGTTCCAAGATTGGATCACAGTATTCTCTGGTACGAGCTACTAAATTCCTCAGAGCCATGCAAGCCTGCTTCTGAAAATGGGAATTTTGAACATCATTTTAAAATTTTATCAAAATAAAAGTTTTTGGTACCTTTTCTTGAAGCAGCATCAGGGATGCCTTAAACAAACCTAAAGAAGGGGTGCAACAAACTGTGTCAAAATCTGGATATGAGCATTATTTTTATAAAATCAAATTCTTTCAAGATATATATATTTTTTTCTTTTGATACTTGTTTAGTATTTTTTTTACTTCACTAGGGTATGAAGTTTGTTAATTCTAAAGTGTATGTCAACAGGGGTGTGTTTAGATTAAAAGTTATCAGTCCAGCAGGATGGACATATCTCAGCCAAGGCAAGGTCAATGTAATCAGCTTAATTATCTGTAACTTGAAGTGCTTAGGTGAAGTAGGGAAAACTTTGTTGTTCATGTTTCTTTGCGAGGAGGCAAACTTGTAACAAATTTGTGAAAGAGAATAAAGTCCCCTGTAGTGTAATAAGGTGGAGGAACCCCTTTAAGCAAGCAGTAATTGAATAGATATAATGCTTCATGTGACAAGTGCATTTTGTGTATTTGCTCATTTTCCATTAATAACTGTAGCTACCTGCACAGCAGAGACATCTTTGTGTATCTTCATCCCTTGGATAATGACTTCATGGCCTCCACATTTCACGATTTTGGCACAATGAGGGGGTAAGCGCAGGGCAAGTGTTCCCAAAGCTGCACAACCATTCTCACATATCTGACATAGAATATTTATTGTCTAAATGACTAGGAAATCAACATTTTCAAGGAAACCAACAAAAAAAAAGAAAAAAAAAACACTGATCACATATTTAGCTATGTTTAACTTTTAACTCATAGATAGACTGAAAAAAAAAATACAGGTATGCCAGTCTCGACCAAAAAAAAGTACACAAAGTATGATACCTGTACTTGGTATTAGTACACTATAACACTCAGTGACTGTTACATATATAGCACCTATTAGTTATAATAAATAAGAACAAGATGACACACTCTACCTGAGGCTGTGCCTGGTGTGTCCCCATAGCTCCCACAATCAGCTCCACACCACCAGCATTCACAATAGCTGCCTTCACATTGTCATTCCCTGCAATGGTTCGCATCAAGCCAATGGAATGCTTGGCTAAACCCTGAAAATACAGAAGTATTGAAATATTTCTCACAGAGATTGCTGGTATTCTTGAAAAACCATCTGACAGCCAGACACATTTGCCATGAATTGAAAATGTATGATGTTGGCATCAAGCCAATGGAATATTTGGCTAAACCCTGAAAATACAGATGAATGCTCTGTCACAGAGATCGCCCATTACCGAGTACCTTGTCTGCAAGTATGTGATGGAAAGCTCTACCTGATGGACTGGCATCTTTTCTTTGTTATTTCCAAGGTTTGATGCTTTGACCACAGGCAAAAAAATAATCAATTCTTTGAAAAAAAAACTGTCCATATCAATAAGATTTCATGTTTGCATGCATAAGTTAAAACTATATGTTTTGACATAATTTGATATCTTAACACACGCTTTATCCCTTAACTTCATCCCTAACAGCAGAGTAAGAACCCACTTTATTTGATATCTCAACACTTTATTCTTAACAGCAGAGAAAGAACTCACCTGGTGATGCATGTTTTCAGTGAGGGTAGTCATCAATAGCTGTAAACCCCCTCTGTCTGCTATCTCCTGACAAAACTCATTCCTGACAGCAAGTTTACTCAGAGTTGCAAACAGCTCCCCAAGTACAGCTACATCCCCTGTAAAGCCTAAAATTGATCCAACAGATATAAGAAGAATAAAAATATCAAAATGTTTGATGATTTGCACAGTCGATTATTTTGCATTTATCACTGACTTTGAAGTTACAGAAATGTTTACAGAATCTATGAATAATCATGCACTTTCTTGATGTTGACTCATTATTATCAGATCCTTACCATTACACGTCTCCAATATCACCTTCAAAGCATTTGCCTCTGCCACTATCATCTTGGCATGTTCGTGAGCTTTTCCAAATGGGACCCTTGGATCATCATCAAAGGTTAAAACACGTAATGCAAAACATACTTCTTTCACAATCCCAGCACTTTTCTGGTGTGCAGTCAAAACAGAGATGAGTACAGAAATAAGATTCTGTTCTACATAAGCTTGTCTGTTCTTTTCATGCATGACACAAGTCAAACGAATCATCCTTACAAGCGCTTCACAGAGTTCTTCAGATTCTTCACTGTCCTTCAGCAAGTTGGTGAAGTACTCTATACCAGTCTGGTCCACCAGGTCAGGCTGCCCATTCAGAAGTGAACTGAGGGCATCCACACAGCATTTCAGAAGTTCTTTGTCAGAGGAAAGTTTCTGACATAATTTGAAGAGTACAGGGTATGCCTTGTTGCTACCAGCAAGACATCTATGAGGGAGATCTATATCACATTCTGTTTTTATCTGAGCTAAAGCTGCCTTCACTGTGGTAGGATCTATATCTCCACTGTCCAGCACACCACTGAGATTCTGCACAGCAGCTACTACTGGGTGTGTGGTCCCCTCTCCAGTGTGGGAACTGATGTCTTTGACTATGTTGCTGAGGTCTATTCCCTAGAGAAAAAACATTGATGTTAAGAGCATATATCTTTATGATGCTGCACTTTAATTTGTGACTAATGAAATATCTTAAACATGTCCTTGGGGTCAATTGTCTTATACAAGTTGTTAGTGCGTCATGTCACATGACCTTGTGGTCACTCTTTATAATACGAACACTAATCAGTCACGTGATTATGGGTGTGTGTGTGGTATTGAGATATATAGAGAATTCAGTACATATGTAGCAACCATACCGGTCGGTCACCCTAGATAGCATATAATGTAAGTACTAGTAAAATGTATTTCTTTTTATTTAACGTATATACTGTAGTTTGTTTATATTAGTTTTTATGAGTTTACTGTTTACCGCATACTTATGTCATTTTTTTCATTTTTTTTTAGATTTGTACAAGAGTCCAATGTACACAACGGACAAACGAGATAAGGTGTTCATTGTGATAACGAAACTGTAACAAATCGTGCTATCTATAAGACAATAAAAGATTCAGTGATTTTATGCGTAACGTCGTCTACAATATAAGTACAAATATTTTGCTCCGAACACTGGCATCATGAATGGTGAAACAAACGCAGATGTACCACAGTCAGACACAACTACCATTAAAACTTTAAGGGACAGAAAAAGAGCAGCGCTACGCTCAGTTACAGTATGCCGTAACAAAACAGTGAATGCTATGACTGACTTTAATAACCTTCATATCGTGAAAACAAATTTGGAACAGTACGATGAATTATTTGCAAAGTACCAATCTGCATATAATAAATACTGTGAAAAACTTTCTGAGGATGAAATGACGAAGGAACTTCATGCGTTTGAAGAAAGACAAATTTCTATGCTAGAGTTTAGACGACATGTGCTCAATTGGACCAGCGAGGCAGAACAGGCACTAACTGCTGATTGTACCAGTTCAGCCAAGGGTAGCAACCACAGTAGCGGGTCACGATCGTCACGCCGTTCTCGCTCTTCACAGTCAGCCCATACTGAGGTGTCAGCGCGTGTAAAGGAACAAGCAAAGATCGCGGAACTCACCGTTGAAAAAGAATTACTACAGAAAAAACACCGATTGATGATGGAGAATGAACAGTTACGAGTGGAAGGTGAAATAGCAAAAGCCCGTGCCCGTGAACGCGTTTATGCAGAAGATGACGTCACGACGCATGCGGCAGCCACACCCACCTCTTCCCATGATGCATCCCATTCAAACCCAGCCCCAGTCAACCTTGGTGAAACGCAACGCCCGAGCAGCGCACCGTTAAACGTAGATGCTCCGGAATTTAGACCACACCAAGCCCATACGCATCCGAGCAGCATGACTGAAGAAAGCCACTTGGTTTCTACGAACACGCTTGTTGCCGCGCTTTCTCTGCCACAGCCAGAAATCCCGAAGTTTTCAGGCGATCTGATCAGTTACAGGACTTTCATGACGGCATTTGACACTCGTATAGCATCGCGCACAGCTTCTCCCTCTGACAGACTTTATTACCTAGATCAGCATCTCGTTGGTGAACCCAAAGACATCGTTAGTGGTTGTTTCTTGTTTGATCCAGAGACCGGATACCAAGAAGCTCGCCGCTTACTTGATAAAGAATATGGGGATCCATACAAAACTGCTTTAGTTTATATCAATAAAGTCAATGCTTGGCCTGTTATTAAACAAGATGATTGTATAGGTCTGAAAAAGTTGTCTTTGTTCTTGACAAAGTGTTGTAATGCAATGAAATGTTTGTCATATTTGAATGTTTTAGATCACCCTCCAAATATGCTCAATGTTGTTCAGAAATTACCATTTTATTTACAAAATAAATGGNATCTTATTATTCTTTCCTTTAAAAAAAAATAGTAAATTTGTATGCTGATTTCCACCTGGAGTTTAAGTGGAAAAGATGATACCCATGTCACCTTTATCTGTTTTCTTCATACCATTGTCCCTTGGGTAGAGAAAGTTAATGCATATAGGATTGTTGAGGAGGCTGATTACTGGTATATGTGCTACTCAAACTACATGTACACCTGACCAAAAAAGTTTGGAAACATTGTTATTTTGAATAATTATAAAATAACCATATGAGCTAAGGTATAAATACTTTAACCAAATATTGATGGATAATGCATCCACCATTTATTACTTTTTGTGTATATGTACAGTAGTACAGCACAGCATCAACTAAAAGGACTTCACTCTGATTCTTTATATATAAAGTATACTTTCAATCTCCAATTATAAAGTTTGATGTGCTGGTTAGCTTTACCGGACTTTGGAGTGGTGTCACTCTTAGCAGGAAGTTACATGCGTTTGCGATCTCTGGCATGTCCTGTTTGTAGGAGGACACATGTGAGGATACATATCACAGTTACTGATGCGCTATCTGGATGTCACTTTAGGATTATAGCAACTGTTTTTCACCCTTCCTACAAATCATCATTATCATCATCTTTCACCCTTGAGTAGAATGGCAGCAGCAGCTTTTTTATCAGTTTATAATTCCACAACCTATAGTACATATCATATTGTACATAAGAGTGGTAATGCATCAAACTTTGTGCTATTTCACACTGAGTAAGGAGCCGTTCCCGCAGATATTTGGATCAATCTATCTCCCTGGGAAGTCTCACTAAATTGATATCAACTTAACCAGCTTTAATGTCTGTCACACCTAGTAAAGCTATTAGGAGGTAAGTATCTCTTCCCTCGCTGCTTAGATAAGTGTGACAGACATTTAAGCTGGTTAAGATGATAGCAATTTAGTGAGACTCCCCAGGGAGTTAGACCTGTAGTGCCAGACGCAGGGTAGAACCGGCCGGATAGCTCAGCCCAGATAGCAGGATGGCATTGGGCCAACGTTGGCCCAACGCATGGTTGGTTGTACTGCCAATATTGGCCCAACGTTGGCAAGCCAACCACCGACGTTGGGCCAACGTTGGCCCAATGTATGGTTGCTCATTGGCACAACGTTGTACAGGCATTGGCCCAACGTCATTTTGCCAACCTGCCAACGTTGGCCCAACGTCATTAGGCCAACCAAAGGCATTGGGCCAACGTCATGCCAATGTTGGAATTCTGACGGTTGGGCTGCCATCGTTGGCCCAATGTCATACCCCTAACAAACCTTCATTGGGCCAATGTTGGCCCAACGTTGGGGATTTTAAAGTGCCAACATTCATCCAACGTTAATTATTGCTTTCAATTATTTATTTTTCAAATGAATTTAAAGGCAATATATTAAATTTAAGCTTTAATATTTATATTCACCACAAAAAAGTGATTATCAATTCTACAACTGATTTTATTCAAGTGCATGTATATACATAAGGTAATAATAAAAGGTATAATAAAAAGTAAATTAACGTTTACATTAACGTTTATTATAAAAGTAAACATTAACGTTTATTATAATATTCTAAAAGAGTATGTGAAACTTATTTTTTAAAACACAGATGGCTGATCTTAACCTAAGTTTATAGAAACAATTCATGCTTGAATCATTTTGAAAACCTAAGCATGCTAGATGCATTTGGATTCTTGTAATATCCAGATGTTTGTTGCAATTGCATGTCAAATACTAAGAAATGGCCCATATATATATATATATATATATATATATATATATATATATATATATATGTAACATATGAACTCCAACTATAATTCTTTTAACCACATTGAAAATTCTGAAATCTAATCAACTCATTAACATTTAACAACAACACTTCTATCTTACATTAAATGTCCTTTCACTTCAAATTCCGCATGATCTCTTCCTTTGCCTGCCTTAATGATCCTTTATGTCACTATACTTCTGAAGGTTTCTCAAACATGTATGAATAATATTTTGTTTCATGGTCCTGCACTAGAGCCACATTTATTTTTCTTGGATTTCAGCATTTCCCACGTATTTTCATCAATGATATTACAATATTCACCAGAGTCTGGTAAAACACTGAGATTAACACTGCTTATAGATCTCTATTTCCACCATTTTGCATCAGTTTCCACACCAAATGTACATGCACTCCTGGATTATCATGTTCATAACTGTGATTTACATGGGTAATAGTTTCAGTTTTGCAGACTTTTGCAAAGTGATCCAACTTCTTACACTTGTTGCGAGATTTTCCTCTAGCAGGGCATTAAAGGTCACGACCAAAGTGTCCCTTACCTCCACATCTGTAACATGTTTTCTCAGTCAGGGGGTTTCTACTTCGTTTTTTATGTCTGACCTCCTGGCGTTTAGACTGAGGTGGTTTGTCAAATGACTTCGGTTTCACCATACTCACAGTTTCTGGTGTTCCATTTTCATTTAAATATTTAACTGACGATGTATATTCATGTTTCTCACCTGTGTTTGAGAGAGTTCTGAAAATATCGTGTACACCTGTTCCTGCAACATAAGCGCGCGTCTCCTCTGACAAGTATTTTTAATTTTCCGTCTTTGCTAATTATTCATTCCGTCCGTTGGTTCTGAAAAAATCAATCCTTTTCCCGAATCCGTCAGCGAAGAGTTTCAAACTTTCTAGCCAACTCGCTCGTCTAGCAGGCGCCTCTCCGACTTCTGTACGGCTCGATTTTCAGAATTTCGCATTTTTCCTCCATTTTCTCAAAGAAAGTTGGCTTACAGTCTTGCACTAGAGTTTATCCTCGTCGCCGTTGTTGATTCCTTCGAATCAAAACACATGACGAATCAAATCACTCAACGAATTGTATCAGTTTGATACGCTTGTGCCTTTTTCATATCCATAACTCTAAGGAACGCTATATCCGGGTCCTTGACCGGCGTATCATAAAAAACGGAATTTTAAAACAGCGGCCGCCGGAACGAGTAGCTGTACCAAGTTAACAACAGTTCATTCAAATAAAAAGTCAAAGTCAAAACACAACATATAAATTAAACAAATAGTGCACTAATGAGGGACTTTGAAGATAAGAGAGAGAGAG